TATATATATATATATATATATATTGAGAGAGAGAGAGAAGAGGGTTATAATAATACCGGTGAAATTCTTACTAAGTATTACATCGCTCAATAACTCTATATTAAATGTGAATTTTGTAAATCTAACCGTTAGATTGAAATTTCTTTACTCTTAGATCATATATACAAAATTTTATATTAATCCAAGATTATTTGATACTTCATTCTTATAAAATAAAATTGACGTAATATATTCATTTCAAAATATACTAAAATATGAACACTTTGATTACCTTCAAGTTGTTGTTCAATTTTAACAAAATTTGATATACACATATAAAATGACATATAGGATTTTATCTTAATTGTAGTATTTTATAATAATTAATAAAAATTATCTGACTTAGAAAAGGTAAAATTTCAAGTTAATCAAAATATTTCATGTAAGTGATTTCTAAATAATTAAATTAAAATTAATCAAAATAATTAGGAAATGATTAAGGGGTCTATTCTTATGTTCTTGAGGGTGAGGAACTTAATGATGAATTTATTTTCTCCTAACACTAATTAGCTTGTGAGAAATTGAAAAGATTTCTAGAAAATTCTAGAAAACCGCATAAAATACTACAATAATGGTGCATTCTTGGACAAGTAATGTTGGCACACATTTGAAGGCCATTTGGCAGAATTCTCAATAACAAAATAAGTCAAAAATTTTGACTAAACATTTGATGGAAGGAGCAAGTCGGTGAAAGGGTTAAATAAATTGGAAAAATGAACTAAAATCATAAGAAAATCCACACACTAAAACAAAACTCATCTCCACCCAAACCTCAACCCAACCCAAGCTCATGGCGAATAGAAGGAAAAGAAGAAAACCATCAAATTTTGAAGAGAAAAAGATAAAAAGAAGGAGAGGAGAAGGAGATAGGAAGAAGAAGAAGTGGGAAGAGAAAGTTAAGAGAAATTAAAGAAGAAAAGCTAGAAAATTTTGAAAGAAAATAGGTATGGGTTAGATGTTTAATTTTATTCATATTTTTATGTTTAAGATAGTTGTAGAGTAAGTTTTCATCATTATTTTCATGATTGGGTAATTGAAACCTTAGGTTAGAAGACTTAGGTTAAAGTTGGATTTATGATGAAATTGTTGCTTTTGAAGTAAATTTGATATGTTTCTTGTTTTTTTTTTATGATAATTGTGCTTGAATTTGATGGTTTGATGTTGAAAATTTGGAAAATGGATGTTGGTAATAATGGGGGAAAGTGCAACTCCAAGGTTGAAGAAAGGGATACAATTGGAGTTTTCTAAAAAGTTCAAGGACAAAATGATCATTTCACATTCTAGGGACATAGATGGAATTTTTTCAAAAGATTAAGGGTATAATGGTTATTTTAATATTTACTTAGGGACATAAATAAAATAATAGAAAATGTTCAAGGGTATAATTAGAATTTTAGAAATAAAATAAGGGTATAATTGAAATTTTTAAAACAAATAAGGATAAAAAATGAAAATTTAGTAAAATCTAAGGATAAAATTAGAATATTATAAAATAGTTAGAAACATAATTAGAATACAGAAAATTAATTAAGAGGAACCATAAAATGGTAGGAAATAATAAATGGCATAAATAAAATATTAGAAATTAACCAAGAATAATATTGAAAATAGTAATTAAAATTAGGGGTAGAGTTGAAATATTAGAAAATAATCATAGGTTCAATTAAAATTTTGGAATAACATTAGAAATATATTAAAAATTAAATTTAAAATAACATAAGCTTTTAGTTTATCAATTAGTTGAGAATAAAAAGTTATTTAATTTAGTAAATATATGTAAAGTTGTATGAACTGATTTGACTTGATTTATTATTGAAATGATGAGTTTCTATTAATGCATATTGCGTACTACGTAAGCATAATGCATGAGGTGATCTTTTAGTAAAGAATTTTGGAGAAAAATAAGTTTGTGAAAATTTTGAAAATATTTTTATTTTACTATCAAGGATAGTTGATAGTAAAAGAAATGAGAAATAAAGTTTTGATGAAGAATTTTATTGAAATTCTTTTCTTTAAATTTACTATATATCAAGGGCATTTGGTAGTTTAATGTGACACTGATAGTGATGAAAAACAATGAAAAGAGAATGAGATAGTATGTGGAATACAAAATTGTGACTTAAACTACCAATGTCATTGATAGTAAATGGGGTTGAGTAAAATGGATAAGACAACATCTCAGGTCTAGGGGGATAGATCTTTGGTCTAGGGAGTGTTAGGGCATGGGTAATCCCACAAATGACTAATCTTTATTTGATTATGTGTCGTGGTAGCTTGTTAGGTGTACTAACACTCTAACTACTATCTACTTGTTCGTGTTTAATAGGGCATTGTTGAATCACTGGACAGAATGATGTTAAGCTTTGGCTTCACTAAACACTCAATAGAAAAAACTTTCATAGAGTACTGAGTCAAAAATGATTTTTAGAAAATATTTTGATCATGATTTAAAACTTGCATTTCATAAACATATTGCATATTTTAAACTGATAATTTTGAAGAATTAATAATTTTGTTGTGTGTTTATTAATAAATTGCATGAATTTCTTTGTGGTTGTATGATTTTTTGTTTGACATGAAATTTTTTTTTTAAATGTCTAACCCCATAAATATTTGAAGTACAGATGCTACAGATTTCTTGAAGCAGGAAAATAAGAATCAGAGTTAGATGTTAGATACAAATATCCAAACCTTAGAATGGGGAGCTATTTTGATAAGTTATGATGTGTATAAAAGAAATATTTTGTAATATTTAGAAACTATTTATTAAAACCTTTGTAATAATACTATTATATAATAGAACTTTATTTAGAATAATTATTTATGTATTTTAGTATCTTATCTATTATAGAAAAGTTTATTAACCTTATTAATTAAAGGGGATTAATATTTGTAATCTTGAAGGAGGGTTACACCATTTTCATCATCACATTCTTCTTTGCAGATGTAAAATTAGTTGACAACTTTGCTTCTCCTTCTAACACCAACGCGCATTCTTGTTATTTGAGGAGAGCGAACATTTTCACATGTCATTTATTAAAGTTATTTTTGCCAATAAATTTCTCAATATCAAACTTTGCAAGTACCATGTTTCTCATATCAATTTGTTATTGTGAACTTGTATTTAATGCATAAATATAACTATACAAAAGATAGCAAACACTAAGAAGAATCTTTA